GTGAACTATGAGTACAACCTACATTTACCGTTTGGTGATTACTTATCCATGCGAATCACGTTAGACAGAATAGCGGGACTGGTCCCATGTTTCACCGTGCGTTTTGGACTTTCAAAATGCACGGTCTTATTTCATGATCTTCAACTCAGTGCTTGTCTGAGACTCCGGAATGAGCTTGGTTTTTTATCGGCTCACATATCCCGGCAGCGTCAAATATTATCAGAACCGAATTTGGCTAAAGTTAAAATGCCGTGTCCACAAGGTAGTTTCAACAGTGGTCTCACTGTATGATTTCGAGAGTTGACCCCTCCAATCCGAGGACCTTGATCACCACCGTCTCCGTTGCACAGCAAGAGTAAACTGGCTGCATGGGGACCAAATGAGGTGGTGCGCAAACGGGTACCTAGTAACGAATCCGAGTTGTTAGGACTGCAGATGAACTTTACCAGGATAAGGTAGATGGAGCATATATTAAGTATACTCAACCACCATCTACCGGAGAAAACGTTTTCTGACCCAAACGATTGTTGGCAAAGGATTCGCGGAGAGAAACTAGGGTCGAAGGGAGTGCCGTGCGATCTTCACGTCTTTCTGACTGGATCCTGCTTGTGAGTGGCTGGAAATCCTGCAGGACGTGACATGCAATTGATCCCATTGGTGCGCATGATGTCACCCGCTTAGCTAGCGTTCGCCTGAGGGTGTGCTGAAATTACATAGGGTGGGGTTCGGAAAAGAGGCTGGGTTGATGCTGTCCTACTTCGATATGGTACTCACATGATCTTAGCTTAATGTCTTCCGTAGGTGCAGACACATTATGCATAGTCACTTCCAATAAGGACATGGGACTTTTCCCCGCCAAGTCGCTAACCAACTCAGTTCTTTCCACTTTTTGCAAAGGCTTTTCCCATATGGTTGACGGTTAGGCCAATAATAATGCTTTGCTGTCAGTGACGACAATAATAAGGCGTAGAGAGCAAAACCGATTGATAACCGTTGCTGATAGCGATAAACTGCCACAAGCGAACACCACTATCGGCCCACTTCAGTTGGTCAGGATGACCCTTCTCCCAGACTCTGTTAGAGGGTGCAATTAATGACCGGTCTGTGGTTCGAAACCGACCTCCGCCTCTCGACTTCCCTCGTCTAGCCTTGGGCAACTTGGCAGTATCCCGGCATTCGTGCTTCCTCCAGGTGGTATGGCAGCTAAGCATCGAAAGTGTTACAGATGGACGATTTTTTATAGTCGGTGCTGTTCGTCCTTTGGTTTGCGGAATTAAGCTTAAAAATGCGACGCTTAGCTAAACACCATCCAAGGCTTTCAAAACCCTACTCCAAAAGACGGAGGGAAAGCTTAAAAACTGGTGGGTAGGCCGGCCAAACATTTGAACTCGATGTTTGGCCTGTGAACCCACCAGTTTTTAAGCTTTCCCTCCGTCTTTTGGAGTAGGGTTTAGCCTTGGATGTTTTTAAGCTTTCCCTCCGTCTTTTGGAGTAGGGTTTTGAAAGCCTTGGATGGTGTTTAGCTAAGCGTCGCATTTTTAAGCTTAATTCCGCAAACCAAAGGACGAACAGCACCGACTATAAAAAATCGTCCATCTGTAACACTTTCGATGCTTAGCTGCCATACCACCTGGAGGAAGCACGAATGCCGGGATACTGCCAAGTTGCCCAAGGCTAGACGAGGGAAGTCGAGAGGCGGAGGTCGGTTTCGAACCACAGACCGGTCATTAATTGCACCCTCTGACAGAGTCTGGGAGAAGGGTCATCCTGACCAACTGAAGTGGGCCGATAGTGGTGTTCGCTTGTGGCAGTTTATTGCTATCAGCAACGGTTATCAATCGATTTTGCTCTCTACGCCTTATTATTGTCGTCACTGACAGCAAAGCATTATTATTGGCCTAACCGTCAACCATATGGGAAAAGCCTTTGCAAAAAGTGGAAAGAACTGAGTTGGTTAGCGACTTGGCGGGGAAAAGTCCCATGTCCTTATTGGAAGTGACTATGCATAATGTGTCTGCACCTACGGAAGACATTAAGCTAAGATCATGTGAGTACCATATCGAAGTAGGACAGCATCAACCCAGCCTCTTTTCCGAACCCCACCCTATGTAATTTCAGCACACCCTCAGGCGAACGCTAGCTAAGCGGGTGACATCATGCGCACCAATGGGATCAATTGCATGTCACGTCCTGCAGGATTTCCAGCCACTCACAAGCAGGATCCAGTCAGAAAGACGTGAAGATCGCACGGCACTCCCTTCGACCCTAGTTTCTCTCCGCGAATCCTTTGCCAACAACCGTTGGGTCAGAAAACGTTTTCTCCGGTAGATGGTGGTTGAGTATACTTAATATATGCTCCATCTACCTTATCCTGGTAAAGTTCATCTGCAGTCCTAACAACTCGGATTCGTTACTAGGCACCCGTTTGCGCACCACCTCATTTGGTCCCCATGCAGCCAGTTTACTCTTGCTGTGCAACGGAGACGGTGGTGATCAAGGTCCTCGGATTGGAGGGGTCAACTCTCGAAATCATACAGTGAGACCACTGTTGAAACTACCTTGTGGACACGGCATTTTAACTTTAGCCAAATTCGGTTCTGATAATATTTGACGCTGCCGGGATATGTGAGCCGATAAAAAACCAAGCTCATTCCGGAGTCTCAGACAAGCACTGAGTTGAAGATCATGAAATAAGACCGTGCATTTTGAAAGTCCAAAACGCACGGTGAAACATGGGACCAGTCCCGCTATTCTGTCTAACGTGATTCGCATGGATAAGTAATCACCAAACGGTAAATGTAGGTTGTACTCATAGTTCACTTCCGTTAATCTCTCTTCAGACAAGAATTCGATGTCTAGATTCATGGTCCATCACAGTGTGCACTCCATTTTAACGTCCACAAGAAAATCGAACAGAAAAGGTGAGGATATCTGACGAACTCCGCTAGTTGCTTCTGGGACGTTCATTTTGCACCACATCTCGACTGGACCTATGGAATAAAGGACACGAAGAATGTTCATGAAATTCAGGGACATCTTCCTCTGGCCAAGAGTATTCAGAACTAAGCTACCCAAATCGTCAGAGACTGCTTTAAAGTTGAGCAGAACCGCGATTGATATACCGCGGTGTATGTAGTGATTTTCAAACACTTAGTCGAAATCCTGTTCTCAGACTTGCATCTCACGTGCTGAGTTTGGGCGTCGCAATTTGAAGGAAGCCCGAAGCCGTGTTATGGCAGTCGTGGAACTCTTTGAAGACGAATTAGGCCAACGATCGACCCTAATTCTCTGGAATGTGTTCTTTCTCCCAAATATATATGAACGGCCTGGTCTAACCGGGACACAAAGATTTCTCTGGATCTTTGAAGAACCCGAGAAAAGTTCATCTGGTCCGGCAGCCAGATTATGCTTCATCAACCGATGGAGGACCTAAACTCGGGTCGAATGAAGCAGATAGGCAGAGTGACACAGGACCAACTAAACTGATGTTAAAAGCATTCCGCATATATATCTAGACGCGAGTCTCTAATCAGATTTTCAGCATTATCTTTGATTAACTAACTTATGGGAAACCTTTCAGGTCCTGTTGCACGGACCAGCTAGGACAGCTTTGATACGTCCCCAGGCGTTCTGGCATCTTTCATTTCTCGAACTTCCCGGTTCCCCCACGTTGTCCACACACGGTACGTTTGAGTTGCCATCCAACCGATCTAGTCGCGTTGTGCTCCGAGCCAGGAATTGAGGTTTGCAACACATCAGGAGGTAATAATAATCGTTCTATGTCCAATGACTTCCTTGCATGCTCTCGATAACACCACAAGAAGAGAACCTGGGGTCACTTATAGTCATAGTTATCTGATACCAGCCACAGTCACTGAGTGTTCTTTGGAGAGGCAGCTTGTGCTACCTGGCTTTTAGTGGATGTTGGTGCGTTTCCATAACTCGTAGCTCATAAGGCTTTTATTCCCAAATTTCAAGCCTGTTTATTAGGTTTACCTGGAAAGCTTAATGAAAATCTGAACCGAACGGAGTTGTCATCTAAATCAACTTGTACATTCCAAAACGATCGGCAATCACCACCAGTAGTTAATGATGACACGGCCAATTTGACTCCAAGATTGTTCAGCGGTAGGGCGATACCAAGCCTCACAACGATGTCCACTCTCTAAGCACAGCACTCGTGAGTAACAACCGGTGGTCAGCACGAAGTTGCAAACGACTTTCACTGTTATCATTGCGCTTTGCGTTGTGGACAACAGACAACCAATGTGTGCTTCTGATAAACTTACTCATCCTACCTGGACATTTGAAGTGCCTGTTACCAAGACTATATCCGAGATCTTCGTGATGGAGCTCAAGGTGGCCCAGTGATCAAGGCTTAAATTTACCGACCGGAATGTCCGTGGTTCCAGCTTAACCCGGGCATTCCGGTTGCTCCTACCTAGGCTTGAGCAACCTGCCAGTATCTCAGCCCTCCCTTCTTCGGGTTTCGTGGTGGCTATGCACCAAAAGGATGTCACAGCTTAGCCATAATCTTCATGGGGGACAAAAAGGTGCTACAATTCTCGATAGAATGTCTTTCAACAAAAAGGCACGACAAAAAGACCTCATAGTACTCCGACCATATCGAGTTTTTGTCTAAATGGACAGCGCCGGCCATTTATAAGTAGACAACCTCGCCTCGCGAACTTAAGTCTATGCCAACGCCGGTGCATTCCGCTGTAGCAGCTCCAGGATCACTCGAAGTTCTTACTCTGTAGCGTCCAGATGAGGTAAGCGCCGTGAGCTCAGCAAATGTACTCGAGTCTCAGTGATACAGTAGACGTCAGTCGATGGAGCATCTAGAGTACGCGCAAGAGTGGCTTGGCTGATCTGCTTAAGAATTTTACCTTACAGGCTGCATCAAAAACAGGAGAACCGCATATTAGAAGCGGAGTGATGGATTTGAACGATGGTGGGCTATGGGTCAGTTCCATAAGTACATGGCTGATATGCTTACATCTGAGTTCTACAAAGGTGTGATCGTCAAGTTGGACAGGCTGGAAGTTTGGAGATAAAAATGAAGAAACCTGGAAAACTTCAGCAGCCGCAAGAAATCAGTTATCCTCCCTTTGACCTGACTTATGTCACCACACAATAGCTAACGTGACATGAAGAAAATTTTGTCGGTCAAGTTTACGGTTTCATTTGGGCTGAGACACTTATAAGACGCTCAAGCACGGACAGGAGGACTATTAGGGTCCTCAACCAAAGCCCATTAACTCAGAAGCCGGACTGCATGGTGACGATGGTCGGCTTGACACTCTCTGAGATGCTCGAATTGTAAGGGACAACTGCCGCAGTTGTCCCCATCTCCAACCTGGAGGGCCAAGAAGCTGCTTGCTATAGATGAGAATGTTGGTAGTTCATGTTGCATAGATGGTCGTTGACTTGTTCGCTGTGCTGAGGTTAGATCTCAGTAGTTTGAGCTCGAATTTAATAACCGAACCGTACGTGGTTCGAATCCGACCTCTGCCTCTCGACTTCCCCTATTAAGGCTTGGGCTATCTGGCAATATCCCAGCCCTCGTGATTTATTCAGGTGGCATGGCAGCTAGGCACTGAAAGGGTGATACAGCTGGAGGATTATTATTTATTACTGTGCTGGGCAATTCAGCTGCATTTGATTTGGATGGAAATCTTCAGTGAATATATGGAAGACCACATTAGATTTTTACCCCCATTTGTGACTCCTAACTCATCGATCAAACCACACCATCAGGAAATTCAGATGAAACACGGATAAACCTGATCCAAATATGGTGAAAGTTGTGACATTTGGGGTGAACATCTGCATAGGTTTATAGCTGACCTTGATATTGGATTCTGCTTCCGTGAGTTGTTGGTGGCATGTGTAGCGTTTATTCGAGGCCAATATGAGTGCAACTACGGAACTGTCCGTAGTGTTTGTAATACAATGGCATCCTTTTGATAAGCGGATGCACATTATGGGGCAAAGAGCGAATAAGACTTACGTTTGTCATGGCGAAGCCAAAGGAGATACTGTAGAAACTCACTGCCACGTGAACAGTGGGCAGAACTGATGAGGCAAGCTTACATTAAGTCAAGTGACTCTTGACACTATGCAGAATAGGGTTGCCAAATAGCACGACGAACACTGAATGGACAAGGTACCTATAACCTCCCGGTTCCTTAGACAAATCAACATGCATCGTAAACAGTCTGTCAGACTACGCACTCTCAGTTCAGGCTGGACTTGAATATGACATTGTGCGACAGTTCTTCATTCGTCTAGTTGTTGGTTCATCATGGTATCTTTATGGTATATGCAGGTCTCTTATGCGTAGGATAGTGACACAGCGATGACAGAGAAATTGATACAACTATTTGAAGCGTCTTAACTCGCACACGAGAAGTGCAGCCGGCCATTCACGTATGTTATTGCCATGTTGCATGTATGGAGTTTTAAAGATAAACCCTAATCCTGCAGTATCCACACAACTGCAATCAGTAACAGAGCAGTAGAGGTAGAGCTGCATAGGAGGTTGAAAACAAAAAAATTATCGGGATGAGTTTCCAGCGACTTAAGCTACAAAGTAATTGGGCTCACAGTCAACATCGTCGTTTGACCTTCATTCTTCTAATCCTCTGATTTCTCCTTGAAAGAATCTATCCCCCATGAAGAAACAGGAGAACCGTGTTGCTCGCATCCAAGATCTGAA